TCATTATTCATGGCAGAGTACTTTACACTTTGTGCTATCTTTTTCTCAGAATTTAAAACCTTTCCACAAAGACACGTTCCAGCCCTTTATGGTTTGTGTTCCACAGGTTCTGTCCAAGATAATGCATAGCAGACTAAACTGACCCGAAATTAACAGTGATCAACAACTTCTCCAACATATCTGGCCCTACATGGGGAGTAGTAGCAGAAACATAATAAACAAGTATTTTAAATCTAACAGATGTTGAATCCAGACATAGTCAACTTTAAAAGAAAATTCTTAATGAGGTAAAAAAGGAAAAAAGAAAAGCCTTACTTCAGCCTGTAATCAATTTGGACACGATGAAATTCTATTTATAGCAATACTTTTAACATGTTCTAGTCTTATATTATTTATTTGTATCATTCCTATTACAATGAAATATTAATGTTGAGAAAGTGGTTACTCTATTAAGGAGCTATCCTATGTTTAGATTTTAATATTGATCTCCACTATTTGGGAATAATTAATCATTCTGTAAGAATCTGCATTTGCCTGCGTTATAATACGATCACAAGTTCAGCATCTTCCCCCACAATAATGCCAAGATTAAATTTATATTTTGACCTATTCCTAAAGGCAATTTAGTTATTCCAACAGAAGGGGGAAAAGGGGATACCGCCACTTTAAAAGCTTCAATCTCTTTGACATTGCTGGCAGTGTATGGGAACATTAATGCATCTGTCATGATAACAAGCTAAGAATAACATCTAGACATCAAACCGAGCAGAGAATCCATCTGAAGTGATTCATTCAGATCTGTCTCATTGATTTATTAAACACAGGGCAACATCTGCAGCCTCACAGAGCCGCTTGGCGAAATTAATGCAAGATCAATTCAAATGGAAAAAAGTGCAAAAGAGATAAATCAAAACACAATTTGCATGCAGTTCCACAATCAGGCTTATTGGGTGCAAATGCTCAATTTTCCTCCCAAAGCAAATGAGTTTAAATGTTGTTTTATCTTCGTAGAATTGTGTGATTTGAAGTGACAGTGAAGAGTTCTGCAGGTTGAAATGGTGAAAAGAAAAAAAGGAGAAGAAATGCTTGCAAAGACCTTTTGAATATGCAACAAGAATATCATTAATACCTAATTGTTTAGCTTTTTTGTCTTTGCTACAAAAACACAGTATTTTTCAGTTGTAGAAGTCTCAGTAGAAAATTACATATGTATTATGCATATACACATGCAGGAATCATACAAATACTCCATTTTGGAGGAAAAGCATGTTACCCTTCAAATGGGGAGCTCTAGTGCTATGAAGAAAGAAGGGAATTTTAATCAAGGGTTCTCCAGATTAGATATGCATCTGATGAAAATATTCAAGTATTTTAGGAGTTTTGAACAGGCACAGACTTTCAAGATACCCGAAAAGAAAGAGGGATTTTTCCAAAAGCATAACTGCACCACTCAGAAAGTGGGAGAATTCCTTTCTCCAGCTCAAGCAGAATCCACTTTTCCAGTGATCTCTCTCCAGAGTGTCTGAAGTGAGCCTCCTCTCCAAGAAGAGAGGGAAACTGAAAAACTGATCTTTATTCAAAAATGCTAACACCTCCAAAATTCATAGATTTGGCCAAGTCTGAAAGCAAGCTAAATATCCACTTAGAGAAAGAAGTTTATGGACAATCAGATGCCCACATTTCCTACCAATATACAGGAAGCTGTGTGCAGTGCTACATGGCTGGATTGCTTTAATTATAATCTTGACATCAGTCTCCTAATAAAAGACAGAGTACTGCTGACTATAGGGTAGCTTTTAATAGTCAACATGACTAGACCCTCATTATCTCATAAAATTAAATGTCTGCATTTACTGCTTAAATTCATTTCTAAAGCCTTTTATTGTTTGTGAATAGCCGAAGTAACGCAAAATATTAGCTTAAATGGTTACTTTAAATCATAAAAAATATGCCATTCACTGAAATACTCTTTTCTGGAAAGTATTCTGACCATTCACTGAATAATCCAGACCAACACTATGCTTTTTCAGTGGCCAGTAGCATCCATCAAATACAGAACTGCGTGGAAGAGGTTGTGATCACACTCATATAATCCTATTTTTCAGGACTGACATATGTACTATCATAAACAGGTTCTTACTACTGTTTTAAATTTCCTTTTAAAAATACATTCTCTTTTTTTAATTAGCTAAATGTTATGCTTTACTACTAAATTTAAGCATAAATATATAATTTATGCTGAAATGCAGTAGTAAAGCATAACATATCCATAATATAAGTAATATTCTAAGGTATTGCCCATCAGGACTAGATTTTGTCAGTATGTTATACTCACTTGAGGGTGGGACCTGCAATGAAATGAGCAGTTAGTTTCATTTCACAAACCTTGCTTGCAAATTAAGAGTGCACGGTGCTGGCTAAAAACAAACATTAGGAAGATTGTGTAAATATGTGAATGACAATTTCAACAGTGCTACAGAAATACACAGGTCAGAGCTGCCGGACAGAGTAACTCCTGCTACAGAACACACACACTGAAAAACTTTCACCCACGGGTGTGTTTCTATGAAGCTCTTACCAGCTCTGCACACAAACTCAACTAGAAAAATGCAATAGAGTAAGCAGGAGAAATAGAATTTATCTTTTTTTCAGTTATATATAATCAATGGCTTGCATCCCAATTAAAAAAAAATAACTAGAAGTGCACGCTAACATAAGAGATGCCGACTTTTACAAGTCAATTACCAGTGAAAGTAATGATACCCAGCATTTCTTACTGCTTTCACTGGCACCTCTTAAATTTACTGCAGCATTTCTACAGTATTCAAATAAATATATAAATAGCTATCAATTTTTTTAAAATATTAATTAGAAAAGCAATGTAGAGTATTCTGAGTTGAGAGTTTTATTTCCAAAAGATCACATATTTTTAAGTCTTTACTTTCAAGGTACAGAACTAAAAACTGTGAGCATGTCTTTCAACAGTTCTACTGCATTTCATTTGTTTGATAACGGGCACTGCAGTGCTTCCCAGGTCACTTCACAGTAAACAAAAATAATTAAGATCACTCGTATATTTAACTATTTTTACCTAACATTCTCTCCAGTAAGTACGGACTGCTCAAGGGAAATAATAATCTGTAAATAAAATGAGGCATTAAGCATTTAATTAGCAAGAATACAATTAACATTAAGTTACAATCCTTGAACAAAGTTTCAGGTGTGCTGATAACACTCCTGATGCGTTACACCTGAAACCGTGAATGCAAAACACCTGATGTGAGCAGGTTCTTCCAACCAGGGGCATCTTCATGAGGCACAAAGAAGCGAAATGTAAAGGGATTTGCTGTTCTTGAACAGGTAAAAATACGTTTTCACAGCAGTGTGGGGAGAGTTTAAGCACATTCAACACGTGTGAGCCTGAGCTGAGAGCTCTGCCTCATCCCCAGCCTTCCCAGGGCTCCGTTCCACCCTCTGCTCCTTTCAGCCCCTCCTGGAGCATCCCTTGGATCCTCACCCACAGCTCCCTTCCACTGCTCCCTGCATTTCCCATTCCCTCGTCCTATCCCTCTCGTAAGTCTTTGTCAAAGAGAAGGGGAAAAAAAGTTGGGAAATACAAGTTTTAAACATTTAACACTGCAGCATTTCGAGATTTTAAAACGCTGGTTGTACAAGAGCAGAAATCATTAGGCTGCATCATATCAGATCCTGCATGTCCCTAACAAAAAACTTTGGCACAGTCTCAGAAATTAACGAGATGTTTTTCTTTAACCATCAACTTTCATGCTAGTTGAGTCTCAGAAACATTTCACAGAAGCATTTACATGTTAAATGTGCTCCTTACTAATCTGATGTATTGGAATAAAATTAATGTGAGCCTCAGACCGTACTTCCAAACCCGTCACTTAAATAAAGCAGTGGGCGTGATGTCATCGAGGTGCCTGACATTGAAACAGGCAGCGGGAGAAGGAAGGGGTTACAGAAACTGAATGGGAGCAAGGGAATAAGCACATAGTTCATATTAACAGATCTAGGAATAAAATGCATCTCTAAACTGCCACCTGTAATATAAAGTGATGTGAAACAAAGCAATCATTGCATTCAAGAATAACGCCCGGTCTGCTCCCGCTCCAGCAGCGAGGGCAGGATCAGGCCCCGCACGGCACGAAATTAAGTTATTAAAGATAAAACCCCGTTCAGTGCTAAGGGGGTCGAACCAGTGACACAAAGCCCTCAGTTACTGAACGCGGGCACGCCGCAGGTCGGGTATCGCACCCAAAGCTCGCTGAAGCGTCTGTAAAGAAAGTTTGCTGCCACAGAAAGCAGCAGCAGCAGCACGCTGACATGGAAATGTTCCTGGAGACGTCCCTCGCCAACTGCTGAACGGGGAATGGGAACTGCGGAGTGCCTGCTTCACACCCTGCCCCACGGCACCAGCGCTCCTGCCGAGCCCCGAGAGGGTTTTGTGTTTATTTAGATCATTATCATTTCTAAAGGCAGCAGCCATGAGGTCACAAACCAGGATTATAACCCCGAGTATGCAGGACCCAGCGGGGATCCGGGGGCTCGGTGACCGAAGCCGGGCAGGGCAGGGGCTGCGGCCCCTCCGGGGGCACCGGGACCCGCAGCCCCTGCCCGGGCACTCGGCTGGCACCGCCCGCGGCAGCGCCGGAGCACAGCCGCGGGTTCCAGCGGGACAAATGTAACGGGAGAAAACTTTTGGAGATTCTGGTTGGGTTTTTTTTAAGGAGTGTTTTCGGGAACTATCGGTTTTCCCTGCTTGGAGAAAAGTTTGGAGAGCGGGGCGCGGAGCCGCTCCGCTGCCCGGCGGTCCCGGCCATGGCGGGGCTGATGGAAGCAGGGAAAGTTTTCCGTGTCGGCACCGCCGCTCCCCGGCCCCGCTCAGCCCCTCGGTGTCCCCCTCCCCCGGGACCCGCGCCCCCGCCCCCGGCTGCGCTCCCCGCGGGCCGGCCGGGGGCGAGAGCGGAGCCTGCGCTCACCTCGCGTTGGTGCAGTCGTTGTACAAAGTTTCGAAGTCCTTCCTGGTGATGAGCTTGCAGCGGTTCACGCCGGGCTGGATGGCCCCCAGCCCCCTCAGGATACGGACCTGCTCCACGTTGCAGACCACGGGCGTGATCTCGAGCCTCTTCAGCTTGGTGTAGACCGTGTGCAGCCCTCCCACCAGGTGCTTGAGGAAGAGATCAAAGACCTGCGGCAGGCAGATCAGCTCCTGCCCCTCCACGAGGAACGAGGCCACCTTCACCCCGTGCAGGTCGACCATCTTACACTCGTTGCCGCCGCCGCCGCCCGCGCCGGCCCCGCCGCCGCCGGCCGAGAGGAAAGTGTTGACGAGGCTGTTGGTGAGGCGCGGGGACTCCGCGGGGCTGGAGTACAGCGGGTCCGCCCGGAACAAACCCGCCGAGCCCCCCGCGCCGCCGCCGCTGGAAGTTGCGGCGATGACGGGCGGCGCGGACACCGCCATGGCCGGCGCGGCTCCCCGCGGCTGCCTCAGCCCCGCGCTGCGCTCCGTGCGGTGCCGCCGGACCGCCGCGCTCCCGCCGCCCGCACGCAGCGCCCAGACCCCTCCCCAGCGCCGCCGGGGGAGAGTGACGGCGCCCTCCAGCCAATGCGCCCCGCCCGCCGCCAGCGCCGCCGCCGCGAGTGGCTGCGGGCGCGGGCGGGGCGGGGCAGCGCCGGCCGCGCACCTGGGGCGGGGGGCGTGAGGGAGCGAGGGCAGCGCGCCCCGGCCCCGCAACTCGGGGCAAAGTTTTGGGGGGGACCCTGGGGATGCGAGAGGCTCCCGCTTCACGGGCTGGGAGAGCGCCCCGAGCTGTGACGGGATCCCGCGGGGCTGCCCAGGCTGCGATGGGGTCTCGGTCGCGCGAGCGCTGCCCTGCGCTCAGGGGGAAGGGAGCGGAGGGGAGGCAGCGCTGGGCCCGTTCCCATCCCTTCCCTTCCCATCCCTTCCCCGGGGAGTTGGAGCGGTTGCGGCTCCCTGGCACGTTTGTAAGTGTTTTGACACCTGTGCCCCGCCGGAGCTGGAGGCACGGGGAGAGCGGTACCGGTGCCAGGCTCTCTGGTGTCCGAGACAAACGCGGAGCGGGAGCACCGAGCGCGGTGGCACCGGCCCAGCACAGGGCCCATGGCCACTGAGTCAGGCCTAAAGCGAGCCGAGACCCTCCAGAGAGGGGCACAAGCAGGACGGAGGGAGGTGTGAGAAATGTGCAAGTTTGCGGTCGCTCACACCAGGCAAAGCCCGTTCTCGGGAGCCTGGCACGCAGTTGTTTGAAACTGACAGCCTCGGTGCGGCATCGGCTGTGCCTCAGCTTCGAGGGGCTCGGCCGCTCCTCACGCACCATGAGTGCCCCGGCCTGCGAACATCCCCGCAGCCGCCACATCCTGATCATCCTCCTGATCAGCCACTCATCCAGGGCGGGTGGCACAAGAACTGCCAAGGCTCCTGCGTCCCCTCTCCCTGAACGAGAGGAGCCGAAGGATGATCAGACATCCAGCACCCCCAGGGCACGCTGGCTACATTGGTTATTTGCGTCTCACCCTCTCCCAGTGTTGTATCACACCTCTTTTCCCACCCTCTTCCCGTTTTTCCTGTGTTTCAACATGCTTCTTTCCTGTTTGTTGCCACTGGTTTTCATTCTTTCTTTCCTTCTTTCCTAGTCCTTTAACTTTTTCACTCCCCTCCTTTTTAGTTGTTGGTTTTGGTTTTGTTTTGGTTTGTTTGTTTTTTTTAGCTTTCTCCTAAGCCATTCAATAAACAAAGCAAGCAGAAAATAATAAACAAAACTTTCCAAGTTGATGCCAAGCAAGCAATACCAACAGAGCATTTCAGCTATTTCCATGATTCCATTGCCTGTGTGGGCCATCTTCTCTTTCCTTTTGTTAGGCTTGCTTATTTAGGCACCTTCTCTGCAAAGTTTAATGTTTTTTGCATTATGAGTAATCCCATTTTAGATGAGAGAGGATGACTGTATGCTAACTAAATTGCTATATTTGTGAGCATAACTGATCTTAAATTACACTCTGGAGGAACCTCCCCTTCTCCCCATTGATTTTATGTGTTCTAAGAAGCCTGGCCACTGGTTTCAGGTCCCTAACCTCACTGACTGAAACCAAGGCAGAGTTTTTATACAATTTAGTTTAAATTAATACCTTTCAGTAAGAATTCTCATATTTTCTGAACTAGTTCATGCATCTTTTTAGGCTCAAACCTTAGACTGTAACCTCTGTGGGACAGGGGCTCCTTACTTTGGCCAAGTACAATCAAGCCCTGAACTCATCTGAGATATTTATATACTAGAAGTTATAGAAATACTAAATAACTGACTCCAGATAGAAACTTTTGGGTGTTAATTTTCTGAACATGACTGCTATTAAAAGATTTGATAAATCAGATTCAAACACTGCCCTTTTAAAGACTTTTTTTTCCCCTTTAAGATTAATGCGACAATCAAAATCCACTGTGAGAATTCTTTTTCCTTTTTGACTTTAATGCCTTCCATAAGCTAAACATATTTCTAAATAAGACGGAATCTTCACAAGGCCAGAGGAAGCCTTGCACATCAACACCCAGCGAGCTGGAGTGGCATGAAGCAATATAAAATCATAAAGGCTGTAGTAAAAGCAGTACCCTTGAGAGGTGACTGTCCATGGAGAGAAGAACTGCTCTGAAACTTCCAAAATGCTCAAGGTTTGAGAATTAATGCCAGGCAGCTGTCCAGTTCAACTAAGCATATACAAATCAACTATATCCATGAATATTATTATTTCTCTGTAATTTTGTTAAAGACAAGGCAAAGTTACTAAAGCCTAACAATCATCCAGTAATATCTTGTCAGTTATAAAGTATCCAGATGGTTTATTTGAATGGAGTCCAGCAGTACGTAATCTGAATGTGTACAAACTACTAAGCCTCCCTGTAGCTGAAATAAGTATTTCAGAATATTCACTTTAAAAGTAAAGTTTCATTATTTTTCTTCCTTTTTGACTGGTGTGCAAACCACTCTGTTTTCTTACCCTGGCAGCCATAGAAATACTGGTGTATTGTGTGTTAATCCTATACAAAAATTGGCTGTGTTTGTATGGCAAGATGTCAAGTAAAGGTTCCATTTGTTTGTTTTTGTTTTTGTCATCCTTGCATATGCCCCACTGGAGTGAAATGGGGAAGAGTCTTCCCTAACACAGCAGGAGAGAGGAAAGCCCCAGTCAAGAGCATTCTGGAAATCTCTTTTTGCCAGCTGGCAAGAACAGAGCTCCTGCTCTCCATGGGCTCCAGGGAGAAAATAATGGGTGTCACACCTGACGAGGGGGGACACTGAGGAAAACTAATGACAGTATGTGAAACAGCAGGGGATGAAGTAAAAATAATAATTCGGTTTAGGGAAGATTAGACAGCTCAATAGTGCTATCTGTGCTTCATCTCAGTTTCCTGTAGCCAAACACGAGGGAGGACAATAAAAATAGGAATTCCATAGGTATCACAATGCGATTTTTTTTAATATAAAATTTTTTTCCCATGGACTTCATAGAGGTATGTCAAGTGTGAGTAGTAGGAAAAAAATGCTGCTTTTTAGTAAAGAACTTGGATTGTCCCTAAAGTGGGAGGGAATAAATGTGAACAGAGACTTACAAGGGTCAGAGGTAACTGTGGGTCCAAAATGAAAGATAAAAGATAACCAGAAGATGCATTTGCATTGCACCCTAATCATAACAAAATGAAACACCTCTTTTTCTGAATTCCAACCCAGCTGGAGTACAAGTGACAAACCCTTCTCCTCATCCTTATCACTGAAATTTCTCAGGGCCCAGTGGAAAGCTGGTAACCTGCCCTAAGTGAGCTCTGAGCTTATATCCTGAGCGTGCAAAGCCCTGATGGTGCCACTTCTGAGTAACAGCGTGAAAAGGAAGAAGAAACAGTGTTAGCTTTCTGCTGGGTTAGTGTTTAATGCCTTGGATTCCTTGAGAAAGAGTACCCACAATTATATTAACAAATGTAGGCCACTGACGTGAGAGAAAGAAGAGACTGAAATTAGTGTGTCATTCTTTGTGCCCACATTTTTCTAGACTCGTACTTGACACTTGTATTCAATTTAGTTCTGACATTTCAGCTGAGGCTTTTTTGGAATTGTGGATTAAAACTTCCCACCTCAACATCAAGGGTTTTACATAAAACTGATGAATCTAAATGTCTAAGTATCAATAGAAAAATGATCCCTTCTCTTAGGTGATTAAATGTATTGTATTAATGTGTGCATAACGCAGAATCAATAAATAATGAATTACCACTGATTGTAATTGAATGTTTTCATAATTTTATTGTCAGCCATGATAAATAATCAGTACATTTATACTGCATTAAATTAATTAGTGTGTCATTTCTATTACATACATCAGCAGTGAAGTAATGCAGTGACATCTGTTTCTAATGTTTTAAAGATGTGGTATTCCTTATTAAGTAAAAGGAAGAGTTATTAGAGGTATTTCCTGTGATTGGCAGTTATACTGGTACAGTCAAAGGGATCAAATGAAGGAACTTGCACTTTTGGCAAATGCTGCATTTCAACCCTTAATGGCAGCAAGTAACAATGACTGGAGTGAATTTTGCTTCTTTAGGATTTCACAAAATCCTGCCTGCCTTTCTAGAGAAAGTAAGAGCAGATCCTTTCTTTCTAATACAGCTGGGAAGATTCTAACACACAAAACAATTAAAGCTCTACAGAAGATCCAGACATCCACATCCATTTCTGTATCCATTTTTCTGCCTCAGTCCTCCATATATACAAAGGAATTCCTGGCTAAGTGCTCATTAAAAAGTCTCAGATTAAGCCTTTTTTGGCTGTGATGTTCTTAAGTGGCAGTGTCTGGACTATGGGTCTGTAATCTTTCCTGGAAGTCACACTAATGTGACATTAAAGCTCAGCTTTGTGCTGCTGTTCATTGTGTTACCTGCAACAGAAGTAAGAAATTGAGATGTTGCAAACACAGGAATCAAAAAATGAAGGAGTAGAATAGGAGGAACAGAATAAATGGAATATACAGCAAATAAGCACAAAGTAAACTGTGCCAGAAGGAGGGCTGGTTTCTAAATGACTCCAGTGTTACAAATGGGGCGACAACTTGGGTGACAGGAGTAAAACCCACAGATGACAAAAGGAGTCGGGAGTTCTTCATTAATGCTGTCTTTTCCTAGACATACACATCCTTAACTTTTCTGTACCTCACACCATTTTTAAAAAGTAAATTGGAAAACCTAACATTAGAGCCTACCTGACTAGAGTTCTTCATCTACAAAGCAGTTTCTAATTTTAATCTTGTAATTTTCATACTGACAATGGGCATAATGATATTTAAACCAAATGAAAACAGTTCAGACTCATTTCTTTCTTTCCCGTGCAAGTCTCACACATTGCTTCTGACTGATCACTGACCACTTTGCACAGATTTGGGTGGGTGGTCTCTGGACCAAGTGTGTGCTCCCAGCAGTTTGTCCCCATGGCTGGCCCAGGGAGCTCTGGCAG